CCGCTGAGCAGCCCCAGCACGGCCCCGGCCGAGAGCAGCAGCGCCCAGAGCAGCGGCCGGTTCTGCGCCAGCCCCGCCATGAACGGCCGGCCCTGGAGAGAAACTGGTTTATACTGGTTTGTACTGGTTTGTACTGGGAGGGATGGGATGGCCGGTTCTGCGCCAGCCCCGCCATGAACGGCCGGCCCTGGAGAGAGAAACAAACTGGTTTGTACTGGTTTATACTGGGAGGGATGGGACAGCCGGTTCTGCGCCAGCCCCGCCATGAACGGCCGGCCCTGGGGAGAGAAACAAACTGGTTTGTACTGGGATGGACTGGGAGGGATGGGACAGCCGGTTCTGCGCCAGCCCCGCCATGAATGGCCGGCCCTGTGAGAGAATTGGACTGGTTTGTACTGGTTTATACTGGGAGGGATGGGACGGCCGGTTCTGCGCCAGCCCCGCCATGAACGGCCGGCCCTGGAGAAACACAAACTGGTTTGTACTGGGACGGACTGGGAGGGATGGGACAGCCGGTTCTGCGCCAGCCCCGCCATGAACGGCCGGCCCTGTGAGAGAATCGGACTGGTTTGTACTGGTTTATACTGGGAGGGATGGGACGGCCGGTTCTGCGCCAGCCCCGCCATGAACGGCCGGCCCTGGAGAAACAAACCGGTTTATACTGGTTTGTACTGGTTTGGACTGGGAGGGATGGCCGGTTCTGCGCCAGCCCCGCCATGAACGGCCGGCCCTGGGAGAGAGAATTGGACTGGTTTATACTGGTTTGGAATGGGATGGACTGGGAGGGTGCTGGGAGGGAACTGGGATGGAACTGGGAGGTTCCAGAAGGGCCTAGAAGGTCCTGGAAGATCCTGGAAGGCTCTGAAAGACCTCGGAAGGTCCCAGAAGGCTCCAGAAGGCCCAGAGGGTGCCAGAAGGCCCTGGAAGGTTCCGGAAGGTTCCGGAAGGTCCCGGAAGGTTCCGGAAGGTCCCGGAAGGTCCCGGAAGGTTCCGGAAGGCGCACCTTGTAGTTGATGGCGAAGGTGGCGGTCTGCAGCGCCACGGCCAGCAGGTACACGGTGCTGTTCACCAGCGACGGCGCGAACTCCCGGCTCACGTCCACGAACTCCTCCTCATCCCTGCCGGAAACCGGGAGCGGTGCCGGGAAACCGGGACCGGCAACGGGAGAACGGGACCGGCAACGGGAAACCGGGACCAGCACCGGGAAACTGGGACGGGCATCGGGAAACCGGGATGGGCAACGGGATCCACCCAGGGAAACCGGGACCGGCACCGGGAAACCGGGATGGGCAACGGGAAACCGGGATGGGCGCCGGGATCCACCCAGGGAAACCAGGATGGGCACCGGAAAAACAGGATGGGCAATGGGAAACCGGGATGGGCACCGGGAAACCGGGATGAGCACCGGGAAAAAGGGATCGGCAATGGGAAACCGGGATGGGCACTGGGATCCACCCAGGGAAACCGGGACCGGCACTGGGAGAACGGGATGGGCAACGGGAAACCGGGATGGGCAACGGGAAACCGAGATCGGTGCCGGGATGGGCACGGGGAAACTGGGATGGGCGCCGGGATCAATGCTGGGAAAATGGGATAAGCACCCGGAATTTTTTGAGGGTTTTTTGGGATTTTTTTGGGGATTTTTTTGGAGATTTTTTGAGACGTTTTGGGAATTTTTAAAAAAATTTTTGGGGGATTTTTTGGGGAATTTTTTGGAATTTTTTTGGGATTTTTTGGGGAATTTTTTGGATTTTTTTGGGGGGATTTTTTAAGGATTTTTTTTTTAATTTTATTTTTTGGGGGATTTTTGGGGGGATTTTTTCATAATTTTGGGGGATGATTTGGTTGGATTTTTTGGTAATTTTTGGGGCTTTTTTGGGTTTTTTTGGGAATTTTTTGGGGAATTTTTTGGATTTTTTTTTGAGAATTATTTATGGGATTTTTTTTAGGTTTTTTTTGGGGTTTTTGGGGGATTTTTGGGGAATTTTTGAGGCTTTTTGGGGAAATGTTTTGGCTTTTTATTGGAATTTTTTGGTAATTCTTTGGGATTTTTGGGGGGATTTTTTTGGGGCTTTTTTGGGGATTTTTTTGGGAATCAGGGGCCTCACCTGGGCTCGCTCCGGGCCTGCGCCTCCTGGTACAGGAACACCAGAGTGAGGAAATGCACCAGGAACTGCAGNTTTTTTGGGAATCAGGGGCCTCACCTGGGCTCGCTCCGGGCCTGCGCCTCCTGGTACAGGAACACCAGAGTGAGGAAATGCACCAGGAACTGCAGCAGCACCGTCAGCACCGTGTACAGGTTAAAAATGTTGGGAAGGGGCCTCTCCTTGGAAAGGGTCTTCAGGGGCTGGAAAAAACGGGAATTTTTAATAAAAAATGGCATTGTGGGGAAAAAAATGGGAATTTTGTATAATAAGTGGTATTCTGGGGGGGAAAATGGGGATTTTGTATAATAAGTGGTATTTTTGGGGGGAAAAAATGGTAATTTTTTATAATAAATGGTAATTTGGGGAGAAAAAAAGCCACTTTTTCCTTAATTTTGCCGGATCCCATGGAATTCTTGGCTCCCACCTTGGATTAAAGATGCAGAGGAAGGTCTGGGATGATCCCAGAACAAAAATTGGGATCATCCCAGCTCCAGGAGAGGGCACAATGCTGCCCACCCCATTTTGGAAGCCGCCATTTTGTGACCCCAAAAGGGAATTTTCCTGGGATTTCCCCGAGCCTTTTCCCATGGAATTCCCACCTTGGAGCAGGAGAGGAAGAGGAAGCTTTGGGATCATCCCAGAACAAAAATCAGGATCAGCTCCGGGATTAGTTCTGGGATCATCTCCAGGATCAACTCCAGAAGAGCACACAACACTGCCCACCCCATTTTGCAAACCGCCATTTTGTGACCTCAAAGCAGAATTTTCCTGGGATTTTTCCGAGCCTTTTCCCACGGAATTCCCACCTTGGAGCGGGAGATGAAGAGGAAGCTTTGGGATCATCCCAGAGCTAAAACCGGGATCAGCTCTGGCACAACGCCGCCCACCCCATTTTGGAAGCCGCCATTTTGTGACCCCAAAGTGGAATTTCCCCGGGATTTTTCCGACCCTTTCCCCACAGAATTCCCATGGAATTCCCACCTTGGAGCGGGAGAGGAAGAGGAAGCTTTGGGATCATCCCAGAGCAAAAATCAGGATCAGCTCCGGGATCAGCTCCAGCACAACGCCGCCCACCCCATTTTGGAAGCCGCCATTTTGTGACCCCAAAAGGGAATTTCCCCGGGATTTTTCCGAGCCTTTCCCCACGGAATTCCCACGGAATTCCCACCTTGGAACGGGAGAGGAAGAGAAAGCTTTGGGATCATCCCAGAGCTAAAACTGGGATCCGCTCCGGGATCAGCTCTGGCACAACGCCGCCCACCCCATTTTGCAAACCGCCATTTTGTGACCCCAAAGTGGAATTTCCCCGGGATTTTTCCGAGCCTTTTCCCACGGAATTCCCACGGAATTCCCACCTTGGAGCGGGAGATGAAGAGGAAGCAGCCGGCCAGGAGCAGCCCCTGCAGCGTGGCCTGGAGGTCGCTGAACTTGACCCCCTGCAGGAAGAGCACGCTCTGGCTGTAGGCCAGCACCAGCGCGTTCAGCGCCAGGATCTTGAACATCTGCAGCGTGGTCACCAGCGTGCAGCGGCCCTGCTTGATCACGTGGCAAACTGCGGGGAAAAACGGGAAAAACGGGAATTCCGGGAATTCCGGGAGGTCTGGGAGCCGGGGGGAAAGAAAACCCGGGGGGAAATTGGGGTGTAGGGATGGGTTTGGGGGTGTAGGGATGGGGTGGGATCAGGATTGGTGAGGGTGATT